CTCACTCTCTTCTCTTCCCCATCGCGCCAGCGGCTGCTGAGCCCTGGTGCCAGCGCTGCCTGCCCGCGGGGTTAACCGCCTGGTCCCCAGGCAGCGACAGTGCAGGGCCTGCTCTCTGTGAATCACTCCTGTGGTTAAGATCATTCAAATCTAGACTGAGCTTCCCATTTCTGTGGGAGCAGAAATGGGTCTCTGGGGGAAAATTCTGGAAGCGTTTCAGTGACGTGGGCTGAAGCAACCAGAGCAAATGGCAGAATTTCATCACCACCTCCAGTGCGTGCTCACTGTTTGTTTCTCAGTTTCCAAAGCGCTTGTCAGCTCTGCAAAACAAAGGCTGCCTAAATCCGCCTCACCTGCAGCTGGCCACAAAGCAAACTTTTATTTTTAAATAGCTAACCTAGAGCTTATTAGCCTGATTTTAGACAACTCTAACATGTTCCGAGAAAGACAACCCTTTGAGAAAGTCTGGAAATTCAAGGCAGGGGCCCCAGCAGCACTGCCGGGCTTTTGCAATTATCTGGGGCACCTGAGCTAAAAGCCCTGCTGCAGGAGAGAGGCTGGGTTTGTACCAAACTTCCTGCGGTGGTTCACCCACCTCCACATGATTTTTCCAGAGTAGATATAGTAGGGCAGGATGATGGAAGTGAGGGCAAAGATTTTCCGTGAATTTATCTGATTGCATTTAAAACTCTGTGATATCTTTAAAAATATATCTGAAAAGAAATATGGACCAAAAGCACTAAACTAAAGGGATGATGTTACTCAAGCCTTCCAGCCATCATTGTATTGAGGACTACTTGGGACCCATACCCTAGACATAGGCATACGTTGCTCATCTCTGTCTCACTGAGTCTTTGCTCGCAGCTCCACAAATCTGCAGGCAGTAGCACTATTCCCATCAAGGAGAAGGTGTGGGAAACGTTAGAAGTTCTCTGTGCTACACAGCAACTGAAATTTCAGAACGATGCATCACAGCATTCATCAGAGAACAAATATATTTAGTTGGCATGGAAACAGTAAGTTAGGCTGAATGTGGTAAATATCCAGCAGTCATAAAAAATTGAACCAGTCAGAATAATAAACATTAAAAATGAAAACTCGCTGAATGCTTTTGAATCATATTGCTTTTACAATTATCACTCCTGTTTTCATTTGAACATAAGTGAAATCCACTTAACAAACTAAGCCGTTCCATTTTATTCCAAATACTTCTACAACATCCTTATTCAGATAACTCCTTTTTCTCTTTTTTATAATCTATTTGAGAAAAAAGAAATTAAAGGGCTGGAAATCTACATTGGTATTCTCCTTCATTTCCTCAGCAATATTCATGAATTGAACATAATTGATTTTCTGTCTTCAGAGAACCTCTCTCCTTTAAGACTCTATTTGTGATTTGACTGCTTGGAGCAGTATTCCTATGGTTTGAGTATCTACACTGTCGTTACTTCAGTTGTTTGTGAACAAAGGAACTTTTTCCCTTCTATTATCCCCAATTAGAAATTTTACATCATGCTCAATCCACCCCTATAGTTAAAAACATTAGAACAAGGAATGAAAAGAATAGGGTTTTTTTCTGAAAAAAATCATGCAAGTAATCCTCGAAAGAGTGATTCTTGGAGCTTTTTAGTATACTGAGTCAGGGTGATTACCCTTACAAAAAGGAATCTGAAATGAAATGAGGTATTCTAAAGAAATCTAGGTAATAAAGCAAGAACATCACTGCCATTAATTTTTATACAGGCCCCAATTCACCAAATTTGTTGCACATGCCTAAATTCCTGGATTCATTAAGGCACACGCTAAAGCTCTCAGTGATGTGCGTCATTTTTAATTACACATTCAGAGGATGTAAAGTCTGCTGTATGCACAGTTTAGATTTTTTTAACTATGACTGACAACTGCACAAAGCCATATGACTCAAGAAAGAGAAACATTTTTAATAGAATGAAAGATCTTTCTATCAGAAAGCTTGTCTTACGTTAGATCTAGGCATGTATAAGAGACAACCGTGATACACTACAAGAGTATACGATACAGGAAAATAACCTAAATGGGATTAGTTAACGGGAAGCCGGTTCCCAGAGTTACACAGTACTGAGATACAAGAAACTGTTCGGATGCACCCAAATTTCCTAGCAACCTTCCCAGACTGCTTTACCTGTCTTGGGACTATATACCAAAAAACCTATATATAAAGAAACTATATATTAAGTGTGAGTTACACTTTGTTTACTGCTAGTTTGCCACTTTCCACGAATACAATTACATATGTCTCAAGAAGGCGGACATATAATTTTTGAAGGAAGCATCCAGCATTTTGACATGAAGAAAGATGATACAGTTCTGAGACTCCAATCTAGAAGTGTACCATCAACGAACACACAGACCATTGTCCTAGAAAACCATGCTTAGCACAGACAGGACAACCCTTATGGAAAAGATAAAATTATTTAAGTTAGTCAAAGTGGGAGAAGTTCCCAGGCACTTTTGACAAATGTACGTTCAGCTGGATTGGAACTCATCATTCAGATAACGTTGCCATACTGCACCACTGGTGAAACAACACAGATACAACATGATTGCATCTACTCACACTGTAAAGAGGATTGAAAAAGTAAACAGGAGTAAACACAAGTTCATACAAGAACATGAAGTACTGGAATGAAAAAGCTGCATAAAAACAACAGCTCATCTTCAACTGGAGTGCCACGCTCACCTCTAGACAGCTCAGGGCTTGCCAACGGAGGAGTTCTAACATATTTCCAACCCCCTTATTTATAGGATAGTTTGTCGCTGTCTCTCTGGATAATTATAACAAAGAAAGGTTAACTCTGTGCAATCACCAGAGGGTTTTTGTAACAAAGAGTTAAGCCTCATGGATCTGTCAGTCACTCTCAGAGACTGAAGAGTTATAAGGACATTGCACTGAAAAAAAGACAAACGTGGAGCACTAAGATACCACCCAACAAGCCATAACGAGAAACAGCTTTTTAGTTTTAATTAAAAGCACAACAAAATGTTTTTTCATGTCTCATTCATTTGTTTGTTGTTGTTATAGAATCAAAACACAAGATTTTTCCTTTTAATGAAAAACAGAAGCTGTTTAACCCTCTCTCCTCCTTATTTATAGACATGTAAAAGCTCAGAAAAGTGGCCTTTGTAATAGCGCCAGCACAAATTTTGATGTTTTATGCAATTCCAATTCAGACAATATTTGGTAAAAGCAGAAAGCAAGTTCTAAGTTACTGCCTTAAATATTTCAACTCCCTGATCAGCTGATGAGTCGTTAGCTACTTTTAATCCTTGATTAACATGTTTACAGGTAGCCTGGCCAAGACAAAGTAACTGGAAATATGTCAGAGCTGTCATTTTTGCATTTTTCTTCTGGAGAGATAAGCACAACTAATGAATTAACCAGTCACAGAGAAGACACTCTAACAACTTTCAAAATGTTTGTCTGCAAAAGAGACCAAAGCCACCTAACAAAAACATCCTCAATGGCCCCAGCTTCTTCAGAAAGTCCCAAGAGATGAATGGCACAGACAAGACCGTTGACGAACGCAGAGATGAGTGTTGCCCTAAGCCTGCTAACATATTACCACCTTGCAGGAAAAGCTCTAAGCTGTATGGTGCAGTGTCATTTAAATAACATTTCTGTTCCATTTATACTGGGGAACAGAACATTACTAGCTGAGCTAGTCCTTCATTAATTTAGTGTGGACACGATAGTCCTGTAGGTTGGTTTGGACCAGGTGCTCATGTAAGAGAAAACCTTGAAGGCAGAAAGCAGCGACACCATCCTGTGAATCTGCATGTCTAGCCTTCTACCCCTGTGTTTCACAAGTCATGTTTTGTTTCTTCTTCTGGATCGTCCCTCAAAGTGGGTCAGAAAAAAAGCAAAATGGCAGTGGCAAAGTTTAAAGAAAAAAAATAAGAGAGAAGAGGAGTCTCAAAGAGTGCAGGCCAGTGCTGTTCCCTGGGAGGGACAACCATGCCCCAAATAGCTAATTTTCCTCCTTCTTTTCTAGAGACTCTCTGAAGCCAAAACGCAATGCTTGTAGGCCAACTCAGTCATTACACCAAACTCCTCTGATGCTGCAAGCATGATCATAAGGGTGAACCTGGCCCAACATCTGGATTTGGGAGGGAGAGGGGGAAGAGAGCAGAATAGCTAATCACCAGCTCTCCAGAGAGGAAATGCAGGAACGTAAACACCAAGGGTGGATGAGGGTTCCCATGTGCAAACAGGATGACAACAACTGGGGAAAAATATTTGAAAATAATGATTATCACTCTTCTACAACCACCCCAACTTACTATTCATGCAGGTATAGATTTAGAAATGCTTTTTAGAGTATGTATGTTATGGATACTGTTTACTCAGAACCAAATAAAGTTCTCAAATGCTGAAAAAACTGATTCTTATTAGAAATCTGTAAATTCTTATGTGATTCAGATATCCACCACTTGTATATTTTCCTGAATACTTCAATTTAGTCTGTAAACTACAGACAGTATTTTGCTTGAAGCACACTAAATCTCTGATTTCACTGAAACTGTCCAGAATAATTTTAGCACTATTAATCATATCGAACTGTTTACAGACAACATGCTAGGACAATGAAAGCATAAGATCAGGAGTAAAGATTATTTTTAGCTCAGTTACTGTCCAATTATAATTCTCTTCATACAAGCCATTAAACAACAGGTTAGAATAGTCTCAGAAACCTCTCTTAAAACAGTATAGTCAGTTCAAAATAAATGCATCATTTAACAGCTAGGATAGTTGAAATACCAACTTGAAATAGTGAGCCTGAGATAAGTATTTGCCTGTAGGGTTCAGACAGTTTAATTCTCTTTTACTACCAAAAAAACAGAAAAGAAAGCTAGCTGAAAATTTTGCAGGAAAATACGTGCTTTTGCTTTGAAGCTAGATATTTTTAAACATCGAACCTCCCTGCCTAAGGGAAGAAGACAAGGGGGACAGCACCCGGTACCTGATCGTGGGTCTCCAGCTCCCTGTGTTGCAGCTTCTTCTCTGCAGCCTGCACCTGATTGCGGTAACTTTCGATTTCATCTTGGAAAGCCTGAAACGATACCAACAGAGGCAAAACACACGTGAGAAACACAGGATGGCAGAAAAACTTATAGATAATGTCTTGCAATGAGCTGATTAAGAAAACAGTGCAGTATCAGTGCAGTTCTTCAGCTACAGTTGCTTCCAGCTGTACATGATGGCTGCTAAGATGTGACAGACCCAGTTTGGCCACCTTTATTGAGTAAAGTTATTCTGCACAGGTAGGACCATTGATTGAACAAGAGTAGTTAAATCTTAGTAGTTCTATCTTATTAGAGGCTACAAGTATTCATACTAAAAATGTAATAAATATCCTCAAATATTGAAAGGGAAATGGAAATGTTGCAACTGTCTCAGATTTTTGTCATCATCTTAATTGTACAACCTGTGCTTCCTAGGAACACTTTTGCAATGTACCAATAACTTTTTATTTAAGCCAGAACAATAATCCTCTCTCTGGAAAACCATGTCTGGAATTTGCAGTGAAAATGTATTCCATATTATTGAAACGAGATGCTCGCCGAGATGAGGGGCTCCCCTCCTGCCCCACAGTAAAGTCTAGTATGTGATCTACAAAAGAAGTATAAATGGCAATAAATAAAAGGAATATTATGATCATGTCACTTTACCACAACTATCCAGTCTTTATTTAGTTCAGAAATAATCACTTCTAAACCAAGCTCATAAAATGCATCGACAAATTTATTTTGTCATTATTGTTCTTCTTATATATTTATTTTTATTACGGCAGTCCCTCAGAGCCTTGATCTTTTTGTTACATGCTTAACAAAAGAACAGTCATGCCGCAAGGAACTGATAGTCTATGTTATTTCTAACAGATACACACCAAACAAACAATACAAAGTTTCAAAGATTTTTTTTTTAAAGTTTCCTAGTCATTGTTGAATGTTTGAATACACACTTAACATTTACTTACACATTTACTAAAAGCTTAGTTATGTTGTCAGCTTGAATAAAGGCATTGTTAACTGCAAGTGCTGACTTGAAGCAAAGTGCACAATGTGGATGTTAGATTGACATCAACACAGAGGCGGCTCTGGCAGCAGAAAGGGAATATTTGGAGTTATCTTTTGTATGCCAGGAAATGAGGGCATTGCTACCCATCAGCTGAAAAGCGTGGCGCAGAGTCAGGACAGGACCTGGGACGGGACTCGCACTGGACATACACTATAAATGACACTGGAGGTGCCTCCAGTGCTGCTTTTCAAAAAGCTGAGCTTCACAGAGACCTTCTGCAGCGCGCCCTTGAAAGGAGAGACCAATGAGCCCATGGACTCTTACTACACTTTGCAGAACATGCAATATGGTTAACGTTTGCTTCCTCCAAGTAGAATACCCGTACATAAACCAGGATCATTAAAAGTACTCCCAGTGCAAAGATTTAACAGAAAAAAAAACCCTGTTCTTTTCCACAGCACTGAAATACTGTACTCTCAAATCATTTACAGGATAAAATTGCTATTGAGATAAGATAAGAAGACTACTTATGATAGATCTTGCACATTGTTTTGAAGTGATGCCAGGTATTAACTTTAAAGTCTTATAGCTATAAGACTATTACATGTTCTGATGCCAAAAAATGTAACCAGACCCAAGCATGAACTTCAAATCTGCCCAGGGACTTTCATGCTATCACCGCTTCTGAGAAATGTTGAAATCCAGGCTTTGAATATATAACCGGTCTTCAATACTCAACAAGTCTTGCAGTACCAGGAATTTGCATTAATATAATGAAATAGATGTGTGAATTGCAGGCTTTTTGTTTTCTTTTTGTACATCTAAATTTGTAAGGTAAAACACAAACAAGCATACTTTGATTTAAAAACTAAAATGATAAGGTCATGCCACGTAGAAATGTAGTAAGGAGCAGCACCGTTCTATGTATCAGAAAGATCACCAAAGACCCAATTAATTTGACAAAAGTCCTGCCATAACTCCGAAGCATCCAGACATAACCAATACAGGACAACTCTCGGGAACATTCATGGAGCACGTCTTGGATAAACTACAAAGTATGACCCGTCTTTTCCTGCTATTTCCACGTGATCAGCTTATACAGTCCAAATAGCTTGGCATGGTGAAAAATAAGGAGGAAGGAAACCTTGCTACACATCAGCTGTCCTACCCGGACTCCCTCCTTGTGCTCATGAGCAAGTTTCACTCTTTCACAGGACTTTGAAGATGGTCAAGAGATAGCACGTACACGTACAAATGTACATGTATATATATGTACGCATTTGTCTCAGAGAACAGATTTATATCACACTCAATCACACAAATCTGCAAGTACTGAATACAAAACAGGATCTCAAATTGTTCCTGGTAAGGACAGCAACCACATGGTGGCAAAGAACTGCTGCACTGCTATGTCCTTCCTTGATTTCTCCATTTTTACTTTTCTTATTTACAACAGACAAACATCTTTTGCAGACCATAAAATGAGAGGTTCCTTTAAATCTGAGGGCTTGCAATCCATCTTAAAGTAATTTAATTTGGGAAATTCAGATAACATAGTCTTTGTTAGGTCCACGTACATGGAGTGCGCATATTTTGTTTCATTATGAAAGCAGACAATGTTCTAAACAAGTACAATTTAGAAATCAAGTACTTTTACTATAGCATATAAGTGTAGCAAACTAGTCTTATAATTATCCATTCACTGATTGCCCAAACCAGAATATACTGTATGAGTTTACAGACTTTTCCAATCACATCATAACTGGCTGTTGGTACGTTTTGTATTGGGATGGCAGAAAAAAAAGACTAACTCCTCTGATCAATCACAAATACCTCTAACTTGACCATTTTTGGACTATTGCTGTGTTGCATACCAGCTCTCCTGCCGGTCACTTTGTAGAATCTAGCCTTGTGTATAAAGGATGTTTCATGAGTAATTAATGTTCATTTGGGTATTTCAGCTCTCCTATCAGCACAAGGACAAAAAAGTAAAACCAAAAGATCAGTATTTGATCAAAGCCATGTCAACAACAACAAAAAAAAGTAACATCAAAATCTCATGGTTGCTGTAGATTCCTGCATATGATTAGCTCTGAAAATAGTAATTAGAAGTAAGCAAGTTTGTTGCCCATGATTTTAATTTTCTAGGAGGAATCATGATGGATGTCATGAATAATGCACCCTTTTGAAGATCACACTGAAAATTCTCTCTATTGTCAAAAAGCTTCATATGCAGTGGCCAGACCCTGAATGCTGATAGCTGTTTCTGAAGCTACCCAGTACCCTCAAATCTTTTTCTGTATCTGACAGAGGAGCTTTTGTCACACAGAATACTCTTAAAAACAGCAGACGATTTATCCCAGGTACACCACAGAACATTTCTTTTGTAAAATTAAACAATGGTTTTGGTTTTGGTTTGTTTAGAAATGCAGTTTTTATTCCACAGCTTCAAAGTGTCAGATTTTGCCCAAAGAGTAACAAAGCTTATGTTCAATAACTGCTGAGATGAAGAAAAAGGGATTAAAAAACTAAAAATACAGGCCAATTTTTAAGTGTCAGAGGCCTTTTCCCCTGAACGGAAAACAAAGCCTTACTAATTTAGTTAAATTTTTCCAGGTACAGAATTAATCCCCATCCCTCAGCTTTGCTAAGTTGACTTGCATTACTGTTAAAAAGACATTTTATTTTTTTTTTTTCAGTTAAACTGGCTTTCAAATGCCATGTAAACATGTTTGCTGTTGAATGTCTACACCATACCTGACCTTGGAAGTGCTTTGTGTTGGCCTGAGAACAAAGAAATGAAATGTTTTGCTTTCCAGCCCAGATATCCTACAGTTTGAAAAGCACTTAAAAATGTAAATGAGATAATAAGCTCTACTGCAACAATGTGGGTGAATTACAGCTGTATTAAAGGAACATTAATTTGATTTATTTACAAAAATGGAAAGGATTCTAAAATAAAATCATCTTGTAAACATTTTAGTCGCATACAACATTGAGAGACATGAGAAGGATGGAAGAGAAAAGTAATGGCTTTGAGAATGCACCACTGAAATATTACGGTCAGATTTTGGGACGTCAAGTGGAGCTGGTGGATGAGGCCATCATTGTCACTGTCATACCTGAAACGGTTGGGTACTGGCTGATATGAGAGGAGAAAGGAACATCCGAACTGCATTTCTGGGTAGGCACTTTTTTTTCATATTATTCTATTGTGGCTTGATTGTCACCAGCAAAATGGTTAATGAAGTTTAGTTCAAACCCAACGCTGGTAACTTGGAGCACTTTGGAGACAACGGAACAGCACATGTGGAGTTAGTGCAGAGTTTGGCCTGTGTGGCTCGTAGAGGTGCTGGGATGATGCACGAGACTGGAGGAATTCAGCCTGACTTCTGGGTGCCAGACTGAGGCTGTAAAAGAGGGGTTGGTTTGTTTGGGTTTTTTTTTAAAAAAACAACTTGTAGAGCATATAGTTGTGACAAGGAGCCAGAGAGAGACAAAAAGGTACGATGCCAGCATTACAAAATCCCTTTTCAAGGCAGGAATAGATTTTTAGCATTAGTTACAGGGCTTAATCTAAATCAACTAAAAGCTGGTAAGAGAAAGAGTTCTAAGAATCACATGAACAAGTATGAAATGGGAATATATGAAGGATTTAGTCTTTAATATATGAAAACTGATTTGATTATCCTTTAACCACAGGATATTTTAAAAAAGAAGTGTTGGATTCCGTGAAAGAAAATTCAGTTCAGTTCAGAAATCATTATTAGTTTGAATTACTTGGTATTGATTATTACTGTGAAGGTACTGTATTTACAAAGGTGTGATGTTTTCCTTCTTCAATCGGAAATAATTTCCTACTTTTGGTGTGTTCCTGAGAGCAGACAGGGCTTGATTCCTGCTCCCACCACATCAATGGCAAGTCTGGGATCACAAAGACTTCTCTCTGTGATACTGAGGGTGGAATAAGTGATACTTACAAGGAAAGGAAAAGCTTCTAAAAAATGTTAAATACCAATGTATTTTCACCTT